ATCATGTTTGTCCACATTTTTAAAAAATTTACAATATAAAGGCAAGATAATTCAACGTGCTCCAGTGGAAGAAAGCTTGGGAATATAGATCAATTGGTATATTTGCATAAGTTGCCTCCTTACAATCCTGGCACATTTTTCAGTGAAGTTTTGTTTCACAACCTATTGGCAGATACTAGTGTGATACTAAAACATGGTCTGCAAGATCAGTAGGAACATCTGAAGAAAGCAGTTTCATCAGCAAGATTTACAAAACATAAGAAAGTTACACAACAGACAACTGTTGTGGATTCAAATAGCTCGTCAGTCCCTCTTTCTCCCTCCCCCACACTGTATAACCCCCCCCAACAAACAAACAAAACAAAAAACCCCCACCTCAACTCTGTTCCAGTAGGAAACTTTTGTCCATCAAAACTGATATATCATACCAGTAAAATTTACTTTAAATAAAGCTATGCATACAGTACACTTCTGCCAGAAACTCACTTCAACTTCCAGATACCAAGACAAAATAATAACCATGGTTGCCTTAATGCATAAGAGTGCCAAAAAAGTATACAAAAATTAAAGCCTTTTGCACCTTGACACCTTACACTTGTGGTCAGCATTACAAATTTGCAAACCAGGACCAGATACCATTTACAAATATTTACTTTAACATACACAGGAAACTCTTTCAGTGATTCCAAAGCAGTTCCAGATGAGGAATTACTGCAAAAAAAATAAAATCTGTGCATTTGTTATATTGTACAAGTGCAGTATTTAACTCCGTGAAACACAAACCTCCACTTAAATAGGATTTGCAGTTGTTCTCATGTTGACATCTCAATCTCAGGAGTTTAAACCCAAAGCTTTCTTTAACAGAAATCTTCCACTTTGAGATACAGTAATACAGCTGTGCATTACAGGGACAGTGTGTAACACTTGAGGATAAAGAATTGAAGTTGTAACTTGTACCTACATACTAGGCAGACCACAACATCTCCCAGTTCAGAACAGTTATAGGAGCTCCAGGGCTTAAGCAGCTTCAAGTTTCATCAAATTCTGTGCTGTGCATATTCATAACTGGAACCAGTTGGCCTGGATTACACTATTCTTATAGTTGCAGCTAGCATTTTTCAGCTAGACATTGACAATAACTCCCATTCATTTCCAGGGTCAAAGTTTCACTGTTCATAGTAATGCCTTGATTTCCGGTCTCTAACCAGGAGAGCAATCTTCAAAACAAAGTAGATAATGAAGAAATTTTGAAGAGAATAATCATGGTTGAATGCAAAACTAAATGTTTTATGACATAGCTTATTGTGCAATGTTTACATCTATTAGTGCTAGATGAAAATGGAACTGAGGATAATTAAATCCAGTTTACAATAGATTAAATGTTTTTGCACAAGTACTAGCTACAATTTTAACATTTAAGGTTCAATTTTCTTCCCAAAACATTGCAAAAACCATAACTTCAGTATGATTTATGACACTGGTAAAAGAAATACACTGTTAAAAATTTTTTTAATACCTAGCACAAGTAAAGGCTGGGCATAGAATGGATTAAGAATTAGCCCTGGGGAGGACTGGGGATGTTTGTGGATGAGAAGCTCAATACAGAATCACAGAATGGCCAGTAAGTAAGTAATGCTTTAGCTACTCTAGTAGTTTCTTCATCTCCTGTAAATGTGTGGTAATCTTACTTTTCTGTTATTAAGATTAAACTTACTTGTATGTATACAGTGCCTAGGCAAATAATGCAAAACAGCTAATGCACTGTAATTATCATAGAATCACAGAATCACAGAATGGTTTGGGTTAGAAGGGACCTTAAAGATCATTTAGTTCCAACCCCCTGCCATGGGCAGGGACACCTTCCACTAGACCAGGTTGCTCAGAGCTCCATCCAACCTGGCCTTGAACACTTCAGGGATGGGGCAGCCACAACCTCTGTGGGCAACCTGTTCCAGTGCCTCACCACCCTCACAGCAAAGATTTTTTTTCTAATATCTAATCTAAACCTACTCTCAGTTTGAATCTGTTCCCCCTTGTCCTGTCACTCCAGGCTCTTGTAAAGAGTCCCTCTCCATCTTTCTTGTTGGCTGCCTTCAGGTACTGGAAGGCCACAATTAGGTCACCATTAAGCCTTCTCTTTTCCAGGCTGAACAAACCGAATTCTCTCAGCCTTTTCTCATAGGAGAGGTGCTCCATCCCTCTGATCATCTTTGTGGCCCTCCTCTGAACTTGCTCCAACAGGTTGATGTCCTTCCTATGCTGAGGACCCCAGAGGTAGATGCAGCACTGAAGGTGGGGTCTCACCAAAAGGGAGTAGAGGGGCAGAATCACCTCCCTCAGCCTGGTGGCCACTCCTGTTTTGATGCAGCCCAGTAGACAGTTGGTTTCTGGGCTGAAAGCGCACATTGCCAGCTCATGTCCAGCCTCTCATCTACCAGCACCCCCAAGTCCTTCTCGGCAGGGTTGCTCTTGATCTGTTCATCCCCCAGCCTGGATTGATACTGGGGGTTGCCCCAACCCAGGTGCAGCACCTTGCACTTAAGTCTTGATAAAACTCATGATATCCCCATGGGCCAACTTCTCAAGCTTGTCCAGGTCCCTCTGGATGGCCCCATCCTTCAGGAGTGTCAACCGCACCACTCAGCTTGGTGTCATCTGCAAATTTGCTGAGGGTGCGCTCAATCCTTTCGTCTATGTCATTAATGAAGATATTAAATAACACTGGTCCCAGTACCGACCAAACATGCCCTGGCCATGCACACTTGCAGCCCAGAAAGCCAACCATGTCCTGGGCTGCATCAAAATAGTGTGACCAGTCAGTCGAGGGAGGTGATTCTCCCCCTCTACTCTGCTCTTGTGAGACCCCACCTGGAGTACTGTGTCCAGCTGTACTGTTGGAGCAAGTCCAGAGGAGGCCACTAAGTTGTTCACAGGGCTGGAGCACTTATCCTATGAAGACAGGCTGAGAGAGTTGGGGCTGTTCAGCCTAGAGAAGGAAAGGCTCCAGGGAGACCTTATAGCACATTCCAGTACCTAAAGGGGGACCAGAGTGCTGGAAAGGGACTTTTGACAAGGGCATGTAGTGATAGGACAAGGGGGAATGGCCTTAAGCTGAAGGAGGACAGGTTTAGATTAGATATTAGGAAGAATTTCTTTACTATAAGAGTGGTGAGGCACTGGCACAAGTTGCCCACAGAGGTTATGGATGCCCCATCCCTGAAGTGTTCAAGGCCAGGTTGGATGTGGCTCCAAGTAAACTGGTCTAGTGGAAGGTGTCCCTGCCCATGGTAGGGGGTTGGAAATAGATGATCTTTAAGGTCCCTTCTAACCCAAACCATTCTATGGTAAGTTGTCATGATCAGTTTTAAATGTTCAGCTGAAAAGTTGGACTATTAATGCCACAATTTAAATGGCAGAGTTCACTATAAAGGTGTCTTGGGAAAACCTAAACCTATATATGTATTTTCAACTGCAAAGGGGATTCTTATATAATATGCTAACAGCATATATTATATAACAGCTGTATCAAAGTATGAACATATTTTTAACAGTGAAAATTTTAGATTCTGGAACAGCATGCAAGATGCCTTAGAGCTGTGCTCTTAACTACATGCATGTGTTTATAAGGAACAGGATTCTCAGCCTGCAGTAGCAGTGGGGAGCTGATGTGCTGCTACCATGCTAAGATATGAGCTAGTAAATCTGCACAGATAAGGAATCTGCTGACAGTTCTCCTTCACAGAGGCACATTTTGTTTCAGCCCACAGAGTGCCAAGTCTTCTCAGCATTGTCTCTCACCACTGTTGTGGCCTGAATTGTTTTGCTTACAGCCCACAGAATTTCACTCTTAGCACATTACAAAGCACCTACATGTATTTCCACCTGGCTGGATTTGCATGGATTGAATAAAATTTATCCGTTCTTAAATGCAGTACATTATAATGCTGTCATGGTTTAAGCTCAGATGGAAATTAAGCACCATGCAGCCCCTCGCTCAACCCCCCCTCTGTCCCCCCCACCCTGGTAGAACGGGGAGGAGAATTGAAATAAAACTTGTATGTTGAGATAAGAACAGTTTAATAATTGAAAATAAAGTAAAATACAATAATTACAGTAAATAATAATTATAATAAAAAGGAAACAAACAAGTGATGCACAATGCAATTGCTCACCACCCACTGACTGATGCCAAACCCCCCTTTCCGAACCAAGATCAGCCCCTTCCAGTTAACTCCCCCAAGTTTATATACCAGTCATGACATTCTATGGTGTGGGACATCCCTTTGGTCAGTTCGGGTCACCTGTCCCAGCTATGCTCCCTCCCACTGGCAGGGCATGAGACAAGGGAAAAAAAAGTCCTTGACTTAGGATAAACATGACTTAGCAAAAACCAAATAGTCAGTGTGTTATCAACACCATTCTCATTCTGAAACCAAAACAGAGCACTGTAACACCTACTGAGAAGAAATTAACTCTACCCTAGCTAAAACCAGGACAAATGCATTAAAACTATCCTTTATCATTTACTGCCAAATAAGGGAGAGGAAACAGCAGTTTTAACATATTACTGTTAGATGCTGACAATTCTGATCAACTGAGGCACAACTATAGATGATGATCAACAATTCATATTTAAGTCATTGAACTAGTAAGTATAAATTTACTTACAGTGCATTAGATGTATGTATTACCAGTGAAAAAAACAAGAAGGTCAGCATAACTTAAATATTATATGAATTCTAATGTGTTATGAACACTGCCCCAAGGGCATGTGACTTCCTGTACCTGTATTATGCTATTGGACAGCAGACAATCAGAATTCATTCCAGCTTCAAAATAATATACATAACTGCCTATAATCATTCCAATCCCTCTGCAAATTGCATTCTGTGGCTAGTTTTTTCAGCACCTTAGTTAATTTAACTTGATTAAAACTGGAAGCATCTGACTATGATTTAGGCATGCTTATTGCTGTAAAAAAAATAAGCCCATTTTCAAAATTATTGTGCAAGTATTTTAATAAGATTTGCACACATCTCGAAGAACTCTATTGTATGACTCCCTGGTCTTGGAGTTAAGTCAGCTTTAGAAGAATCAAGTGAAGAGATCACTGATGGTGTAAGGGATATATCTGCAGATTTTCCTTGTGCATCAGCATCTGAATCTTTTTGACAGGATCTACAGTTGCTCACAGAACCTGATCTCTGTGGAGTTGCAGTCCCAGATTTTGCTTCAGTAATTTCATCTGGGGAGCAAATGGAGGAGGAAAATTAGTCATCAGTACCAAATAAGTCATAGGAACAGCAAACTTCTTCCCCTTTTCACACTTCTAATATTATTTTTTTAAATCTTGATTAATACATAAACAGCTTTTGCAACTGTATATAGTTGATACAAAGTAAAAGCTTATACATATAGCAACACAGAATCAAATGTCCTTAAGCAAATTATTCTTGTGCTCTGAACTGTGCTCCAGGACTATCTGATCTAGTTTAGACCAGCACTCACCATATTTTTCATGAAGTTATTTCCAGGAGAAGTTAGTGAACACAGGAGTTTTCACATCAAAGCTACTTTAAACTACAGTTTGTAAGAGGAATAGAGAACAGTTAGCTGTGATGGAGGGAAAGTCAGATCAGCTTCACTATTGGAAGAGAGATGCCAAATTCATGCCCTTGGGTTGTATTTCCTCAAGAGTTGAGGTCAGGACTGCAGCTGCTCCAGCTGCATGGCTCTTAAGCAGTCATCTCCCCTCCAACAGGAATGGCATTCATCTTATACTACAGTAGAGGTCAGTGCAGGAAAGTGATTAATCCCCTGTATCAAATACTACTAGATCTAAGCAAGCACTTGTATTGTCAGAAGGGACAAGGCAAGAATTGCAGTGTCAAGTCAGATCAGGTAAACTGTCACAAAACTCAGCCTCAGCCATCCTATACTATGATCCAGCCATATTCCAGTGAATCCTTTTCCCATGCCACATGCTTTCCTAGGCATATCAGGTACACCATTAGCTATAAATAATTTGCTTTAGTCTACTATGCTCTTAAACAAGCATTATGGCCAGTCTATATTTGCTCCTCCATTTTCAGGAAGGTATCTGACTTGAAGATTTGGCTGGGATAGAGTTAATTTTCTTCCTAGTAGCTAGCATGGGGCTATGGTTTGGATTTGTGCTGGAAACAGTGCTGATAACACAGGGATGTTTTTATTATTGCTGAGCAGGGTTTGCACAGCATCAAAGCTTTTTCTGCTTCTCACATAGCCCCACCAGCAAGGAGGCTGGGGGTGCACAAGGAGTTGGAAGGGGACACAGTTGGGACAGCTGACTCCAACTGACCAAAGGGATATTCCAGACCATATGGTGTCATGCTCAGCATATAAAGCTGGGGGAAGAAGAAAAAAGTGAGGGATGTTTGGAGTTGATGGCATTTGTCTTCCCAAGTAACTGTTATGCATGATGGAAATGGCTGAACACTGCCCTGCCCATGGGAAGTAGTGACCAAATTCCTTGTTTTGCTTTGCTTGCACATGTGGCTTTTGCTTTCACTATTAAACTGTCTTTCTCTCAACCCACGAGTTTTCTCACTTTTACCCTTCTGATTCTCTCCCCTATTCTACCTGGGGAAAGTGAAGGAGTGGCTGTGTGGGCCTTAGTTACCAGCTGGGCTTAAACCACAACAGAGTTGTATGCTGTGTTACTGTCACTCTATAAGTTTTTTCTACAGATCTGTCCAACTGCTTTCAAGACTTCACTTACTGCAAGCATGCAATTCCCATCTCAAATTTTGTCTACTACTAGCATTGATGGGTTGGACCTGGTTGGCAGCTAAACCCCCAGTCAGCCCTTCATTCACTCCACCCTGCCTTAGTGCAATGGAGGAAGAGAATTGGAAGGACAAAAGCAAGAAAACTCATAGAGCGAGATAAACACAGTTTAATAAGATGAAGGAAGAAAGAAAAAAAAAAGTGATGCAAAGGCAATTACTTGCCACCTCCTGCAAGCAGACTAATGCACAGCCAGTCTCTGAGCAATGGTTACCTTCCCCAAACTCCCATCCACTCAGATTTTTTACTAAGTGTGACATCATATAGCATGGAATACCACTTTGATCAAGCTGAGTCAGCTGTTCAGGTTATGTCCCCTCACAACTTCTTGTTCACCCCCAGCCTACTCATTGGGTGCACCACAGTGAGAAAACAGAAAGACTAGTTACTATGCAAGTACTGGTCAGCAATAGTCATAACACTGTTTTAGTCATAGATCAAAAACACAGTCACAGATAAAATAAACAGCACCATACCAGCTGCTATGGAGAAAGTTAGCTCCATCTCAGCCAGACCCAGTACAGCAACATACAGTTCAAGTCAAATTTGCATGCCTAAATGCCAAGCTTTATCTTCACTAGGAAAACATGTTCCCATACTTAAGATCTAAATTAACATTTAAATTTGGGGGTGAGGCTGCAAAACCAGTTTAGGTTGATCCAAAACTTACTTCCCACAATCCTTCCCCTTTTGCACCAGCAGTATTAGTGGTGGTGCAGACACAAAATGGAGCAGTTCTGGAGTTGATATAGCTAAAAAGTGATTATTTAAGGAATGAAACAGCTAACCATCTGATCATAGGAACACTAGACCAGGAAGGAATAAAGAAACATTAATGCAGATCTAGCTTGGTTTAAATTAAAAAAGGGCAACACTTACATCACTTATAAACAAGTAAGTTAAGACATGTTTGCATTTAAAATTATTCCCCTTACAAGTCCATTGACTTATGTAAGTCTTTACCTACCATCAATGCTACGGAAGTCCAGTAAGTATGTCCTGCTGTCCACCTGATACAACTGTAGACTCATTTTGGAATATGCATTTGTCACTGGATTCTTCCTTCGAACACGCAAATAGTATGGATTTACAACCTAGTACATGAGAGATTTGACTTAGTAACTAGAACTGCTTAAGAAGCACTGCACATTGTTTTTCTTATTTCAACTCACTGGTATTATCAAGTGATTTCAGGCTTACCTGTCAGAGCTTTTTTTTTTTACCAACAAAAACACACCAAAAAACCCCAAACAAAACACCCCACTCAACACATTCCCAGAGCCCCAGTAGAAAGGTTAAACACATTAGCAAGATTTTTCCTGTCAGCATAAATAGCCTCCCCCAAAACCCTTCCTGCACAGCCAAGCACAAGCTGTCAGTACAGGCACATGAGACTATCTTCCACAGCACAGGAGAACAGTTTCAGACTTCTAGGCTATGTAGTTACACAGCTCAAAAATTTTCCGATGTCTGCTGTAAAGACCCTTTATTCTTTACCTTCCATTCATAATCCAGTTGTTTAATTGCTCGACAAACTTCAGCCATGATATCATTTGGTTGACTCTGACTCCGTATTCCCAAGTGCCACTTCGCTTTTCTTACACCTTGGTGTTTTGACTTCTGTGGATTCAGCTCATCAAGAGTATGGCGGGGACGTGGTGCTTCAGCTACTAAGAATGGCACTCTTTCAGGATGAGGTCGAGACAGATTGTGATCATCAAGAAAAGAATCCAGTGGGCTTGTAGCCAAGTAGAAGTCTTTGGCCTCATTCATTATTCTTCTATTATCTATAATGAGGTGATAAGCAACCACTAAAGGGTCCTGATGATTTTGGCTGTATAGACAACTTAGCACTTCCTCTTCAGTGCATTCAAACTTCTCACACACTTCTTTTAAGGCTTCATCATCAATCATGGTAGAACTATATGACGGGTCTTCAGGAAACAGGTATTTGGGAAGGTCCTGCTTAAACCATTCATGTTCTCTAGATTTAAAAATAAAGTCTGAGTATATATATGTACAGCAAGCCTTTTTAGTATTAAATAATTTAAAAAATAAAATTATTCTTCATCTATATAAAAAAGATCAACAGTTGTCAGTCCAAGTCCCCTTCTGTGCAGCACAACAGTACATAATGAAAAGTAATTATCTCCTTCACAAGATTTTGCTAGACATTTTGCAGGAGACTGAAAAATGCCTCTTTCCTCTAAGGGTTTCAACTACCTGATCTCCAATAATATCTTTGTATAAGTCAACCACCTTTTTATATAAATAGTTGTTCTTTTGGCATTGGGTTTGTGGTTTGTTTTTCTTTTTACTACTTTGCTATTTTAGTTTTGAGATATTTTCAACTGAAATCTGTATGCTATCCAATCAAGCTGTCCCTCCCCAAGTACATACATAACAAATTAAAGAAATCTTGATACTGAATAGTTTCTTTGGTAATGTTTGAACATTGAAGTCACACACTCTCTACCCCCAACTAGCTGCCTATCATTTTTTCATTCAGAACCCCCCCTGCTCTCTCTTCAAGCCTTAAAGAGTAGAGGGAAGGCTATGGAAGAGTCAATCTGTACCTCTTTACTAGTGTATCCATGGGCTAAGAGGGAAAAGGAAATATACAGAAGGGACCAAATACTTAGGTTGCCCAATCATACAGAAAAAAAATAAAGTAGTTTTGTGTGCCTAGAGTAAGCTGCTTAACTAGTCAAAGGATATGGCATGACGCTAATTTTAAAAGTATCCTACTCTATAGCATAATGACTTGCTACCGATTTAAGAGCAGTTATATTGATCAAGCTCTAGTCAGTATGAGCCTGAGAACACGCCTCAGCACAAGGTTTCATCATAAGAAAGCAGTTAATTTGGAAGTAAAAAAAACTTTTCCCATATGACTATAAAGCACAGCTCTAGCTGAATAACTGAGTATTTTGTTACTATTTGTTGCAGTGGGCCTCTTCCCTTGCATACACACACCCCTAGAAAAATTAAGGTATTCGATTAAACTCAAAAGTTTATCCTTTAAACTGAGATGATATAGCTAACAGGACAAAATTGTTTAGGATTCAAAGTCCAGCCATGCTCTGTAGTCAACAACTTTCAACATCTTTTTTCACATCACTTCTCTTTCAGACTTATTTAACATGACTTAGATGAGTGGATAGGAACTTAGCTTAAGTTTTACAATGTTTAGTTCTCAGTGCTTTGATTTCTGCCAGTCTTCTCAATGACTTCTATGCCTCAGTCTTCAAGGGCAAGTGCTCCAGCCACACTCCTCAAGTCAGGAAAGGCAAATGCAGGGACTAGGAGAATAAAGACCCTAAGCCTGCTGTAGGAGAGTATCAGGTTCAAGACCATCTAAGGAACCTGAATGTGCACAAGTCCATGGGACCCAATGAGAACCATCCATGGGTCCTGAGGGAGCTGGCAGAAGAAGTTGCTAAGTCACTATCCATTGTTTTTGAAAAATGGTGGTAGTCAGGTGAAGTTCCCAAGGACTGGAAAAGGGGAAATATAACCTCCATTTTTAAAAAGGGGAAAGTGGAAGACCCAGGGAACTACAGACCAGTCAGCGTCACCTCTGTGCCAGGCAAGATCATGGAGCACATTCTCCTGGAAACTATGCTAAGGCACATGGAAAACAAAGAGGTGATTGGTAACAGCCAACATGGCTTTACAAAGGGGAAATCATACCTGACAAATTTGGTGACCTTCTATGATGGGGCTACAGCACTGGTGGATGGGGCAGAGCAACTGACATCGTCTACCTGGACTTGTGCAAAGCATTTGACACTGTCCTGCACAACATCCTTGTCTCCAAATTGGAGAGACATGGATTTGATGGATGAATCACTCAGTGGATAAAGAACTGGCTGGATGGCCACACATAAAGAGTTGTGCTCAACGGCTCGTTGTCCATATGGAGACCAGTGATGAGTGCTGTCCCTCAGGGGTTGGTACTGGGGCCAATACTGTTCAACATCTTTGTCAGCAACATGGACAGTGGGATCGAGGGCACCCTCAGCAAGTTCACTGACGACACCAAGCTGTGTGGTGCAGTTGACATGCTGGAGAGAAGGGATGGGCCATCCAGAGGGAACTTGACAGGCTTGAGAGGTGGGCTGATGCAAACCTCATGAAGTTCAACAAAGCCAAGTGCAAGGTCCTACACCTGGGGTGTGGCAATCCCAGACACACCTACAGGTTGGGTGGAGAAGGGATTGAGAACAGCCCTGTGGAGAAGGACTCACGTGAGACTCCACCCGGAGCACTGCGTAAAGTTCTGGTGCCCCTAACATAAGAAGGACATGGAACTGTTGGAACAAGTCCATAGGAGACCACGAAGATGATAAGAGGACTGGAGCACCTCCCCTATGAAGACAGTCTGAGAGAGTTGGGGCTGTTCAGACTGGAGAAAAGAAGGCTGTGTGGAGACCTCATAGCAACCTTCCAGTATCTGAAGGGGCCTACAGGGCAGCCAGAGAGGGACTCTTCATCAGGAACTGTAGTGACAGGACAAGGAGTAATGGGTACAAATTGAAAGAGGAGAAATTTAGGTTATATATTAGGAAGAAATTCTTTACTGTGAGGGTGGCGAGATGCTGGAACAGGTTGCCCAGGGAGGTGGTGGATGCCCCAACCCTGGCAGTGTTCAAGGCCAGGTTGGATAAGGCCTTGAGAAACCTGGTTTAGTAGGAGGTGTCCCTGCCCATGGCAGGGGGGTTGGGACTAGATGATCTTTAAGGTCCCTTCCAACCCTTTAACATTCTATGATTCTATGAAAGTACTTCCCATTGTAATAAAGTAGTAAGGGATATATGTAACACATTTTTTATTTTACTGAAAGAACATGAACATTGTTAACTTGCTAACTTCGAACCCTAAAAGAGGAAGCATTTTCACTAAGGTAGTATTTCAGAGCTCTCTCCTTAGAGTTTCTTACAAAGAAAACAGGAAAACCTAACTATGCTACTGCATGAAGGACAGCTTTATCAGCTACCTGTTTTTTTTAATTCTACCCACTGTGCACTTGTCAAAGTGGTCACCCCCTCCAGAATCCTATCTTGAAATCTGGAGTCCATGATGGCTATCTGTAGCTACAAGCTTAAATTATCAGTTTTCTACGTACTAATTGTCACTCATACACAGGTTCATGTCAGGGTTTTGAAGCTAGAATAGAATGCCATCTTATACATGGAATATTCAGTCTCAACAGATTATTTTGCTGAGTCTGCAGAAATATGAATAAAAGCGATAGTTATCAGGTTAAAGAGTCATAACTTCTCCTCAGACATTTACAATACAAAGCAGCAGTTCTTAACAGCAAATAATTTTCTTGCCCAGAGAAGTCAATAGAGTACAGTTTTTGCAAACCATTCTGCAGGTAAACAGGCTTGCTTTAGCAGTCTTAAATCTAGAATTTCTCAGAATGTTTATATGTAACATATATATTTGTTTTACTGTGACCTCCAATAGATACTACATTGGCCACAGGAGATCAGTCAGAGCTAAAGCCAAACAACCAGTAGTTGAATTTTTCATCTTAGACTATAAAACAGGGACAAGCTACATGAATGATTTCTTTGTTCTGCATATTTTCACTAAAATTACCATTCCAGCATCCTGTGATCAGACATCAGTTAATGTTTTACCTAATGTTTCTGATTGTTGCTCTCTTCATTGGATCTACTTGCAGCATGTGTTTCAGAAGACTAGATACAGATGGATTCAGGTACTGAGGGGTATAAAAGATACCATCACATATCTTCTTAAAAAGGGTTGGCACATGATCATCATCAAATGGAAGTGTTCCACATAACAAAGCATAGAGAATAACCCCACTGCTCCAAATATCTACTTCTGGACCTGCATATAATCTGGGAAAAAGGTAACTATTAGCAATTTGTGCTTAACACATTTAATTTGGGGTTTTTTTCTACATTCTTACATTGTATCGTGTTAATTAAGAGTGTGTGAACTTTGGACAACTTATTTGCAATTACTCTACCATTTCAGTGCTATGCTTTGAACTCTAGTGTCCTTCCCCTTCAAATATGTAACAAGAGCTAGGGCAGAAGTACTTAGTTTTTCTCTCTATTGTATAAAAATAATCCACAGATACAATTTAAGACAATGGCAAACTGAAAGAAACTTGCACCTGCTACCAAGAAAGCTCATGTTATACTATCACTGTTTGAGTGCAATCTATGTAGTCATCTAGCCTCCAAGTCTTGGAGGCTAAGTTTAAGACAAGTCCATATAGCAAAACTTGTCACATCTTCTATGCTACTGCCTGAATAAAACATACATTTGGCCTCCAATTGCAAGAGATATTAGGGTGGGTAGCATAAAGCAGCAGATTTGACAATCACTGAATAAATTCAGACTGAATATCTATTCTGCAGCAGATATTTCACTGCTACTCAACTTCACAGTAGACTTTGCCTGTATTTCTATCTATACCTCTACTTCCAAGATCTGAGCTGTAAATAAGATTTTTAAACCAATTCAGGCACACTGCACACACTGGATTTGGGACATCACACATGACCTCCACCTTACAAAAACTATTCAAAGATAGCTCATTGAAGCTCTAAATGTTTATGAAAAATTAACAAGGCAATTAAGAGTTCAGCCCTCAGTTTCTTAGCATCAAGCTTGTGAATTGCACTAGTTTTGAAGCCTTTAGAATTAAGCAGCAAAATGACTGAAGTATGTGCACATATGCATCCAATAGAAAAGAAACTACCTTCCTGAAATTACTTCTGGTGCAGCATAGTTAGGGGAACCACAGCTTGTTCTTAAAAATTCTCCATCTGACATCATATTTGATAGACCTGAAAGTATATAAGAGTAACCACTAAAGATTCAGAGAGCAAAGTAATTTCACACTGCATATACCACCTAGAACAAATTACTAGTAATTCAAATTAGAAATTTAACTAATTTATCTCAGTAAGAAGGCAGCATTGTTTGGAATTATTGAGATTTTTATATGAGAATGCTACATGATCCTGCATTTAGTTTACCAGAAACTTGAGTAACATCAATCCGTTATTGCACACAACCTAGGAATGTTCTAAAACATATTAATTCCAAGACAAAAACCAACCCATTCTCGATTACACAAGCATGATAGAGAACAAAGCTGCTCTAAGGGAGAGAGGAGCATAGCAACATAGGATTTTGGTCATTAACAAGAAAGCGCCTTAAAAACCACATTCGCTTCTAAATGCCAAAGTGGAAGATGCTACCACAGAATTGCCTAAAATTGTTTAAGAGGTTATATAGAATAAGGGAACTGAGGAGTGCACACAGCTTCACCACAATTTAGACACCGACACTGCTTCAACAGGTTTTTGAAACACTGCAGTTTAAAAATCAAGCTATACTGTAAGTATAGCCTTTAGAACTAGGCCATCCTCATCCACCAGCCTTTAGCATATCCTATGATCAGTAAAGAATTACCACTTCTAGAATAGCTGTGGAAAATATCTTCTAGTTTCCTCCGTGAGGGCTGCATAATCAAAATCAGTACAGGCCAGAGAACTCAGACAGAAATTATGCCCTTTTACTGCGGGGGGGAAGAATATGAAAGAACACAGTTTGGCTAGTTTTCATACTTGCACTCATATACTTGAACGCTATCCTTTTAAAATATATTTAGAAGACTCAGCATTACCTAGCATCTTTCAGAGACCTCCAAGTGCTTTACAAGGGCAAGTATTTTCTACTATACCTACAAGAGTATGAATACCTTACTATGTTTATATGGTCAGGTTTCCCGATTCAGACAGTTCAAAGAATTAGCTACCAGTCTTTGCAGCAGCTGTGTTAAACAGCTAGTATAAACAATTAAGCTTTCTGATTAGTTAGGCAACTATATAGCTAAAAACACAGGAGTTTGCAAAATTGTTCTTATATTACCTTCTATGTTTTAATTACACTTTTCAATCACATCTTTTGAGTTTTCAAAGTGAATTTAGAGCAGTTTCTTAGAAGTAGTGTATTTTACTAGAGCAATGTGGTTCTTAAATATGATGAACTTTCCTTGCACTGTACTTACAAGAGAGCTAAGCATCTGCATTTTACAGATAAAGAAACAGACAATAAGAGTCAGTTTTGAAGTAGCAAGGTGGGGAACTAAGTCTATTTAGAATTATTTGAGAAAATATTAAGCAAGACCAAACAAGACAGTTCACAACTTCACCCAGTCACAGAAAATACCCAACTTGAAGAGAAAGCTTTAAAGGAAAATAAATTCGACACATGTGCAAGAACATCATTTTGGTTTACATGGAGATTTTCTTGTATTATGTGCTACCACCAGGATATTCAAATATACACACTTTATTATTTCCCATAGTAATTAACAGGATCTAAATAAAACCAGAAATGTGATCAGATATAAAATAGCAATGCTTACCAAAGTCAGCTATCTTGGCATTCATGTGTGCATCAAGCAGCACATTTTCAGGCTTCAGATCTCTATGTACTACCATATGCCTGTGACAGTAATCCACACCAGAAAGGATTTGCTGGAACAGACGTCTACTTTCCTTCTCATCAAGCTAAGACAAACAAAGGTTTTAAACAATTTTGAGACAGTGGAGGGATAATTTGGTTTTCCTCTATATGAATTAAAGGAAACTTTCCCATGACTGAAAGTTATCATTTATAGTTTTGATACTTTATACAGCAGATGATCAGTACTTGTAGCAGAAAGCTTCATAGCTTACATCATTTTGTTTGTACCTGTCACAAATCCAGTTTGTACACAGTAATTGTAAATTAACATATCAGTATCATTTATTTTTCAGTAGAGTGGAAAAATGCTACAAAATCATACATAAAGATCTGAAACATGTTAACATATAAGTGTTTTTAGTTTCAAAACAAGATGTAGTCATAAAGTATATTTTAATTGCTAACCGCAAAATTAATGCTGAATACATAAGAAACAAACCTTCATTTAACAGGAAGGTTGCAAAAGCAATAACAGAATGCAAGTCATTGATTTGTAGAGTTGGACTACTTCTTACCCTTCCATTTTTACAGATATAATCAAACAGTTCTCCTCCTGAAACATATTCCATCACCATGAAAATGTCAGTTGGTGTACTGATGACCTGGTACCTGATAAGAATAAGTATCTGTTAGTCTGTGCACTCAGTTAAAGCAGCTAGTTACATTTAGTTAAAACCAAAGTTGTGCAAAGAGTCAGATAAAAGTATACTTTAAAAAAATTAACAGTTCATTTACAGCTACTGGAATGATAATATTTTTTAGAAGCTATTTCCTCTCCTTTTACTATGTGATGCCATCATTGCCAAGACTAGCAGGGAATTTGTATTTCCCACCAGGAAGATGGGTCTTTGTACTTTCAGAGGACTATTCTCAGTCCAAATTATTTCTGTGAAGCCATATACAGTACTGCCTCACAGTCATTTTAGTGCAGTGAGGAAGGAATTCAAAAGGACTTTGCTAGTGTCTCAAAAGCACACACCCTTCAACAAGCAAAAAAACCTTGCCTTGTCATAAATAAAAAAAAGTGTACTTCAAGAACTGAAAAAATATTCATGATGATGAGCAATTATCTTTTACAAAGAGACCTAAATTTGTCATTAGTATTTAAGAGTATTAACACCCTGGTTATTATATTTTTATCACTATACTTTAAGGTTAGCTTTGAGGTTTTGAAAAAACTAGGTTATGTTCAAACTCCCCACTTAAGAGATTGATATGTTTTTTACATATCCTTACCTAAAGGCTGTTTAATTTTTCCCCCCTTACAGCAGTCAGAAGTGATCAATTTTTAACATAACAAGAAAATGCACACTGGTAAACCTTCAGTCAAAAATTCAGATACTATATTAAGAAGACAGGAGGTAGCAATTGGATGAAAATGAATGTTCCAAGGTACTACACTTAAGCATACAAAAATCCCAATTGTAAAAAAATAATTGAATTCACACATACACTACAGAACTGAAATGTTCTTCAAAATGTTGATTCTTAAGACAAGGGGGAAAAAACAGACACTCCAGCTTACAAAGACAAGTTTTTCTTGACAGCAATGAGTTCAGTCTATTCAGGTGAATGTATGTGTGCACATGTATGTGTGTGTATGTATCTATTTAAACAGCTTAGTATCGTAGTGTAACTGCCTCAGAATAGTATTCAGGTTATTTTCAAAGTTAACTTTACCTAACATCTTATAGTCTCAAATACCTTGGTTGAAAGCATGTCATGTATTTAAACATGAACATTCTGAAGTTGTCACTAAGACACTACAGAAATAATCCAAAAGTTACAGTGCAACCTCATTTTTAACACCCTTACTGTTAATGACCTTTCCCATAGTTGTGAAATCACTGAGCTTCAGGCAAACATGAGCAACAGTTTATATTTTAGATCTTCACAGTGATTTTCCATCCTCTGGATGGTGAGATAATGAACAATGTTGGGAGATAAACCTCTTAGCATCACTGAAAAGAATGAGCCATTCTGCACCTCATGTTTTCAGCATCTTGGAAGACTCAATCATGCTTCTCTATAGTCAGTTCTTTTTTCTAGTTATGGAAAAGGAGGTTGTGAAATAGTTTCATATCTATAATATAAGTAAGGTTATCAAACCACACAGCACAGATGACCAGAATGCACAAAGAGGCAATTTATATAGGAAAACAAGATGCATTATATTGTTAGAGGTCAAAAACCACAAAAGGAGATGCTCCAAAGGTTTTTATTTAAAGCATGGTATAAAAAGAAAATCTTATTGAGGCAGACTTGCAACTGTATATAATGCTAAAGCATTGTATGAAAATTTTAATAAAGCACAATGTTCCAAATTAGACATTGTCTAATTTGTAATATTCAGTTGAAATAATCTGATTACCTTTATGCCAAATATCTTGAGCTGCTACCTAGCAGTTCCCCAATCCAGCTAATAGCACAAGCAGCATAATCCAAAGTCACCAGCAAGTCTACCTACACAACAGTATCAATTATAACTCAAATGCTATTTACATTCAGGCTAATAACCCTTCTGTTTTGGAAATGCAGGCTGAACAACTGAAAAGCTAGGGATCCATCAATTTTTCCATCATCTCCTTCATCTTGTCCTTTCACTCAACATGCAGAAGTGAAAATTCGTCCCATAATTCCCCGAGAAAGAAATTGCAACCTAAAACCTGTTAAGCTGACAAAGGTTCAGCAGCACCAGAAGCACACATTCCTGTTCCACCCCAAATATCTCAATTGGTACGCTAACACTTCCTATTTTGTTTTAGCTACAGGTATGTACTTTGGACTCGTTCATGAATTCTAACTGGCAGCACTAGCAGCTCTGCAGCTAGACAAATCAGCTCAATAGTCTTCTGAAAACTGACCCACTGAAGAAGTCTGTGTGATCTGACACAATCCAATTTAGCTCCAGTATAAGTGCTGTTGCCAAATGAGTGTATAGGGATGGCATATGTCAGTGAAAGCATGGTCTTAAGAAAAGACTCTGACAATAAAGAAAACCTAAACTCCAACACCACAATTAACAGCAAAAGTCACCCACATTCTAGATGTGCCCTGCCAGATGTGCAGGTTGACTTTATAGGAAAAGTAAAAAAGTCAATAGCATTTATAGTTTATTTCCTCAGACCAGATACAAGGCGTCTACTCTGGGACATATTTAATTGTACTCCAAACTCTGCTGATGAGCTACTGATCAAACAGATGTAAATAGGCACACTGTAAATATCACATTTATTTAGTTAAGCGGTAACAGCTATATTGAAGACCTCTGAAATATGAGATTGCATTTAACAGACTGCACATCTTTCAGAAAAACCTTGCAGAGTACCATCTACATAGGAAAAACAGGGCACTGACCAACACATCACTAAAAAATATTTTGAGTAAAGAAAATACAATAAATTTACTATAGAATTACCCTTTACAATCTTGTTCTGAACTCAGTTTCTAAGCAGAAAGAAAGATCAAACATAACCAGAAAAAAGAAAATGGAAGCAGCAGCTAAAAAAACTGAGATGGATGTTACTATAAGCTGCTACCTTCTATATACCTGCCCAAAGAATTTGTAAGTCGAGATCTAATGGAAGACCTCTGCCCTGCAGAAAAATCAGTTTTGTGAAAATGCATTACAAAGTACACCAAAAATGGTTACATAGTTGAAAACTAGTTACTTTCCTAAAAATATACTGCTAATAACATTGCCCTTTAAACATGTTTCAGATCAGTGAGAGCAAGGGATTACTGTTTAAATAGATTTGATTATAGCAAGCAAAACTTACAGCTTAATTATATGAGGATGTCTGAAGAGTTTGAGGTTCTGGATCTCCCTGCGGATTTTTCCTACAACATCAAGGCTGCGAATCTTCTGTCGATTTAGGATCTTCACTGCAACTTTATGCCCAGTTAATTCATGTTTACCAACTGCAAGAAACAAGGCCAAGAAATACCACAGTTAAGATGTAAGAATTCCACATTATCCCCATTATCTGGTAGAAAACCAGATGGCATGTCATTTCTTCTACTCTTAATTTCTCCCACAATTCTATCATTAGAAGATGAACTGGATATGTAGGAACAAACCTTAAACCTAACCCTCAGAAGTCTTGCAGCATGACTATGTCTCCCAGGGGCTTGGGTAAGGGACATTATTGGAAAACTCTCCAGCCTATTAAGGCCCTCTGATTATTATCTGTTATTGGTTCTCAAACTGGCAGTGACAAAATAATAAAGAGAAGTCCAAGGGCAAGCAAAAAAGACTTCAGGGCCCTGGGACGATTGGTAGAGGGATCAGGAGCACAGGTAGTGATTTCCTTGACCCTTTCAGTAACACGGAATAATATTGATAAGAATAGACAGATCCATCAGGTCAATGAGTGGCTCGGAGGTTGGTGTAATCAAAAATATTTGGGGTTTTTTGACCATGGGATGATCTACTCAACATCTGGTCTACAGACACCTGATGGGAAGCACCTATTTCAGAGGGAAAAAAGAGTTCTAGCACAGGAGTCAGCAGGGCTTGTTGATAGAGCTTTAAACTGGCTTGGAAGGGGGAAAGGGACAAAATCAGGCTTGCCAGTGATAAGCGATGGGATGGTGTGCCAAAACTTGAAGAAACCAGCACACATGGGATCCCTCAATCTGCCTCAAGAGGTGTTGGCTACAATGGACCACACTTGAAATGTTTCTACACTAATGCCACAGCGTGAGGAACAAACAAGAGGAGCTCGAAGCTTTGGCCCAGTCACAGAGATTTGGCATAATTGGCATAAGTAAAACCTGGTGGGATGAGACCTGTGACTGGAGTGCCCTGTTGGATGGTTACAGGCTCTTCAGGAGGGATGGGCAGGGCAGAAGAGGCAGAGGGGTGACACTGTATGTAATAGAAGGGTTAGAATGTCTGGAGCTCACAGTTGGCAACGGCACAGTTGGGAGCCTCTAGGTAAGAATCAAGGGGCAAACAATGCAGATGTCACCGTGGGAGTCTGCTATAGACCTCCCAGGCAGGATGATGACGCTGATGAACTATTCTTTGAGGAACTAAGGGACACCACTAAATCAACTGTCCTTGTCCTTATGGGGGACTTCAACTTGCCAGAAATTAACTGGGAGCATCACACAGCTGGTACAACCCAGATCAGAAGATTCCTAAAAAATCTGAATGACAACTTTATGGAACAGGTCCTAAGGGAGCCGACTCAGAAAGATTCCCTCCTTGATCTGCTGCTTGTCAGTATGCAGAACGATGCTGCATTTTACCATAAGATGATTTCTCCCACTACTCTTTAAAAAAAGTGATGTTCACAGGTGTGTACTCTTCACATGATCAATAACTACACAGCAGCCTAAAAGAACACCCAACTTAAACCAAATAAGGTAGACAGAGGGGTATTTTAGAAATAGAGCAATAAGGTAGATTATTAGCCCTTCAAGCTAATTTTATTTGATGAAATATTAATAGGATTAATGTTTAATAACATGTTAAAATTATAACTAGCTCCACCACAACAGCCCTTTTTGGCACCCATTGTAAGGGCATAAGGGGTTCAAGATAATGACAGATTTGATTGGGATGTACTAGATGGAATTCATAGCTGTTATTGCAGTTTAGCTAGTCATGAGCAGGCTCCTGCGCTTGCAGTGGGCTTGCTTACCTGACTATATATTAGTCTAGTACTCGTTAGTGGCCACTTTTTGCTTTCACTGCTGCTGTAGTGCTATGCTGCTCATCACCTCACTCTGCTGTGTCTGGGAGCATTCTGATAACAGCAATGGCTTGTGTGTTGATTACAGATTCAATCCGGACATGGTGTAGAATCCCAGAAGATAAGGGGCTAATGTGTATGTCTCAAACACCAATAGCCAGATGGCTGTAGAGCCAACCAAGGATTGTTGGTAATAACCAAAGATTCTTGTTAATAACATGCTGTGAGAAAGAACAAGATGTGGCTGGAGAAGGGGCCATGCGGAGGTAGGGCAGCACTTTTCTGGAACAAACATCCTTGTTCTAGTTCATGGAGATAAGCACAACACAGTAGAGTGCAAGCGAGGAATGAGGCCAAGGAGTGGGCATGGGGGGGAAACAAGACCACCAAAAACCCCTGAAGCCTCCGACCCATTTCCAGAAAGGCCTGAAAGAATGGACTGCGCATGTGGACTAATTTACATAGAAAGAGAGAAACCTGTCTTTGGGGCAGGGAAATCTATCCATAAAAAGGTACCCCCCAAGCCTGGGGGGAATAAAAAGGGCCAGCAGTTCCACTTTCTCTCTCTCGCTTCTGGGACAGAACCTGGGAGGTCCCCGACTGCCGTCGCCCCTGCACTTTCGCTGCCAGTCGCCCAAGTCGAGGCACCTGTCCCATGCTCCAGGCACCAGCGCTGATCTGCATACCAGTACTTCTCCTGCCAGCACAGCCATGATCACTTCTGCCGCTTTTCGACTGCCGGCGCAGCCACTGCTGCCCTCTGACCGCCGGCGTAGCCACCACTTCTGCCAGCTGCCCAACTGCTGCTGCCTTTCAACTGCCACCACTTTTCAACCACCAGTGCAGCCACCGCCTTTGCCGGCTGCCCAACCGCCATCGCAGCTGCCAGCTTCCTGCCACCACTGCCACTGTTGTTGCTTCCATGTGGCAGTTGCCCCACCGCCATTGTTGTTGCTCGCACGGCCACATTTCTGCCCAGGCTACAGCGGGACCACATGACCGCATCAAGACTGCATTGCTGCCTTGGTGGCATGGAGGTGAAAGAGTGATTTTTGGGTGACATTTTCTCTGTTATTGTTTGGTTGTTGTTTTGTTCTCCGTTTTTGGTAAAACTTATTTGTTTCTACAGTTTACTTGAATGCCTCATAATTTCAAATTTTCGTAATTTGGAGGGAGGGGTTTCTATTCCATCGGGGGTCCCGCCTCCTGGGACACATTGTCTATAAACCAAGACAGCTAGCTTTGATACAATTGCTTTAATATAATTGCTTTGCCATAGTGCACTATACTGTGGGAGGCAATTGAGCTGTGGACAGCTTGGGCCCTGAATTTGAGTGGTTGCAGCTGTGAAGTTGTGAAGGAATGTAAACAATGAAGATGAGAAGGTGGACAGGGAGGACAGAGCTGTGAAGCAGCTGTGATAGCCAGAGAGCCTGGACTGTTTGCTGAGTCACCCTGAGTTGCAGAAGCTATAGAGCAGCCAATCTTAAGATGTGTATGGAGTAAGGGCACCAATGGTGGTGAAACACCCTGGCTAGGGGAGACTATAAATTGGCCATGTTTGTATGAAATAAAGGCTTTTCTGCGTGAAATCCCAGTGTGGTGCCCGTCCCGACAACGACACTATACTATCCTATCTTATACTAAGTATACTACTAGTAGTTTTTAGCTTTTATACTGTGTAGTAAATAATTCTGATTAAGGTAATTTTTCTGTTTATTTGCCTGTTCATTTGTCATAATAAATAATTCATTTTATATAAATATATCTGATTTGCCATCATTAAAACCTGCGGGACAAAGTAGTTCAATCACACCTCAATAATTCCTTAAATTCAAACCGTTGATGTAATCTGAGGCTGAGATTGGATCCAGCTACACCCAGGCTCCTCTCTGAGAAGGAGTTTAGAAAGCAAGGGGGTCCTTTCTGCACCCGGTAGCTCAACAAGAGGGCTTCTCTAATAAACTTTATCTAAGCCTTCCACTGAAACAAGAAGCCAGGCCCAAAAGAGTTAACTGAGAAATCTGGGCCTGCTAAGGAGCTAGCAACATCTAAACGATCTGTGCTCATTCTGTTCTACCTACTGACCAAAACTTAAAAGAATGGTAAAAGAAACATATAATAGGCCTAGAGGTAATAAATTAGGATGCAGTAAGATAAAGTAGATATTTGAATAGGAGAAACAGGCCTGGAGCCAAGGCTTTCTCCAAGCTCCAGTGAGCGGGTCGAGAACAATAGAAAAGAAGGAAGGTCAAGCTGAGGAAGATGAGATTAAGCCCCCAGACCCATGGGAGGAAAAGCGGATGTACCACCAAAATTGAGGGTCAAGAGAAGCACCGCCCCAAGCCCTGCCTGAGCTCCATCTATACTCCGCCTGTTATTAATATGTATAGATAGATGTTGTAATCACATGAATATGCATTTAATCATATATGAAAATTGTATAAAAACTACTGATTTTGTGTGAAACCTTGAAGCAAGTTCTTTGTGGTGCAAACCACACTTGCTCCCAGCTCTGTCAATAAATACCTTTGCTGCTCAAAGATCCAAAAGACTGTGAGCAGTTCTTTATACCAGACTTTTCAGATTCACCACTCCTCCCTGTGACAGCAGGTCCCCCAAAATTGCCACCACTGTAGCCTCTTATTGTGAGAGGGAACCAATGCCCCTATGTTCCTTTAACTATAAAGTGGTGGTCTGGGGAGATATTACATGTGTTAGCTCTGGTGAATACAGTGGCTGAGGTTACTGTATGTCATGGTTTCAGCAAGGCCCAAAATCCAATTCTGATTCCTAATATTGCTAATAAAGAAGCCACTTCACAGACCTGTGGACTGAGAGGAAATCTAACCTCTGCCCTCCGAGCTAAGGTTACCTTAACAATAGGAAATGCCACTCCATTTACCACAACTATGTTAACTGCCCCAGTTAAAAAAATCTATCTTGGGTATTGATATGTTGGCAGGACGAACAGTTGAAACTTTAAACAGTCACTTCTGCTTCAGGACTTTGCAAGTAGAATTTATAAGAGTCTTGGGCTGATTCTCCAAGTGGGATCCTGTTGTGCTGCCTGTGCCTGCCAAAGTGGTAACTGCAAAACAATATTGTATTCCCCAGGGGAAAAGAGAAAATTACTCAAACCATTCAGGCACTTCAACAAGTGGGAATTGTTAAGGAAACCATGACTACTTTTAACAATCCTATTTGGCAGCCTGTTAA